TATGCAAGAAACAAATTATATAAATTAAACCCATAACGAAAATAACATTTTATATAAATAATTAAATATAACATTTATTCATCGTAGAAAAAAAGTCGTTAGAGAAGGAGGGTGGAACTAGAAGGGTCATTTAAATTTTATTCTCAAGTCACAGCACAGCACAGCACCCACGTTGGAGGTTGGACTTGACGCGGGTCCCACATCGTGACTTATGAAAACGCGGAGCAGTTTCGATTTAACATGTTAATTAAATTCAAACCACCAAACACGACTAACCTATGTACTCGTTCACCTCATAATCTCACACATATATAGATTCCTCCAACTTGTTCTTCTCACCATTGAAAAACCGTGTGGAAACTTCTTTAATTCCCCGATATAACCCCTACCCATTTCTCTCCTCGTGGCTCCAAGCAAAACCCAGAAAGCAAAATCGCACCTTGATGACGACTAAGGACATGGTTGGAAAGAAGAGATGGTTCTGGAAGAGGGTGAAGAGAGAGTCGTGGAAGTGGAAATACCTGTGGTCTTCGTTCAAGTCCAAGAGCCTTACTTTGCCGGTTTCATTCTTAAACGACGTGGCGTTTAAGGTTGTGTCTGCGTTTGAGGCCGTTCTGCTCGTTCTCACTGCATGCTTTTTCTACCTCTTTTGTGGCTGCCGTTTTTGATTTTCATGTAATTATTTGTTACTCTCTTCTGTTCTTCATTTTTGTAATCATCTTGTTTTGTTAACAATGCAAACGCAGCTTTCTAGCTTTTGTAACGGCTATGCTTCACCAAAACATAGGATTGTGTCATGTCAGGTTCATGGATCCTTAACAAACACGCACTCTTCCCATCACTTTTCAAAACCTTATTGGAAAACCTGGTCATGAAAATATTCAATATGTGAAATCAATTCAAACTCGCTAGCTTGCGTGTATGGAACAGAAATGTGAGGTATAGTGTAACGTAAGAAAATTTTGTAGCTTTTGGTGGGTTAGTGTGGACGCCGAGAGAGTAATCCAGTGCATTCTAAATTCCAAACTTACCAGATAAGTAATTCTGTAAACTAGTTAAAACTTAAAAGGACTGAATTTTTTTTTTCTTCTTATTTTGTAGTTATTTAAATATTTAACTGTCAGTAAATAATTGTTTAATAAATAATATTTTATAAAATATTTATTGGGTTTTCATGTAAAAATGAAAGTAACTTTTATTTTTAATGAATAAATATGTTTTAATTTATTAAAAAGATTAATTATTGCTAAAACCTGTATGGAATAACTTATTTTTTTAAGCTTTGAAAGACACTAATTTTACAAATACAACAATAATCAAACAAGATTCATAGCGATAGTTTCACAATCAAGAAGACAAACAAATCATCAAATATAAAAATAAACTCATCATATCCCATAATAATGATATATAATGTATAAAGTTATACACAAATATTCGATGACATACTTATAATATAATAAAATAATATGTATGCGCCTGTAAAACAGAGAAACCGAAGCTACCATTCTTAACATGCCGGAGGACATGATAAAGGTTAGTACAGCATATTTTTTAAGGGTTAATACAAATATTAAGATGACGCATTAATGTTAATTTTAAGAATGTGAGTAAAATTTGATTAAAAATGATATAAAAAAATTTATTGACAGAGATGATTTATTTAATTAAAAATTAATTAATTGATTTTAATTTTGGTGAGAATTCGTGTATTAAGAGACAATTTATATTATTTGTAATACTATATATTTTTGTTAATTATTGTTGATTTTATCAATAACTATATACTGTGGTGATTTGTAGTTTGTTGTTGAAAAGTTTTGAGAATTAAAGAATTTTCATGAGTTGTAAGTGTTTTGAAGATTTTTCTTAGTAAAGATCTAATTTAACTTTGAGGGAAAGATATATACAATTTCTTTTAAAACTTAAGTTTCACAAGTTCAATTTTAAGAAATCTTAGAGAGATAAAGAGAAGTGCTCTAGAGTTGGTTGAATTTCTCTTCTTCTACTAACTTCCCAAAGTACTTGTAGGATCCTTTCTCTACTAGTTGTGGTAGCTGTTGGTTGATTCAAGCTCAAAGAGTTGAGAATCGAAGATCTTAGAGGATTGGTGTGGAGTTTTTGTAGGGTCCTGACTTTCTTTTTCCTTTTCCTTTTTCTCTTTGATTTCAAAGTAAGGTTTTCCTTTTTCTCTTTGATTTCAAAGTAAGGAAAACTAGAACCAATTTCTTGTTAGATTGTTGAGTTGTGGTGCATAAGATGATTGATGGATATGGTTGCAATTGTCTTGTTGAATTACATGATTTCAGGGTTGGTTGTTGAACTTGGTGTTTTTGGTTTTTCAAAGAGAAGAACTTGGTGATTTGAGATTATGTTGTTGCATGTTGTTCTTTCAGTGTGGAATAAGTTGTTGATGAAGAATATATTCATATTGTGGTGTTGCATGCTTATTTTTTTAAGTTTTAGGTGGTTTTAAGTCAATTTGTTAATCTGTTATGTATAGATTTCATCAACACATCGAGCATGCCTTCATGATGTTAGACATGACTCAAATTAGGAGTTCTCTACTCTAATCATGTCAGGAGTGAGATTAGTAGCATCGAGCATGAGAAGAGAGAAATGGTTTTGACTTGATTGCCAGATGTGATTTAAATGATGGTGGATGTGAGGAGAGAGAAATATATTTGATTTGGTGACATTGGGTCCAAGGTTGAGTGACACACAATGTAACCAATACAAAACTTTTTGCCTAGATGACGATGAACACGAGTCATGTAAAGTCTCTTTGCTTGAAATGAAGTCAGTTGTGAAGTTTGGCCACACAAGATATGAGAGCGACAGAGGCTCTTTGTCTCATCCACGCTAGACAAAAGTTGAGTGGCATTAGGTGTACGTGGTTGAGCGTAAGAGTTTTCTACCTCAATGACGTTAGATGTGAGAAGAATGACATCATGTGTGTGTTACTTTATGAATATATGTTGTTTGATTGGTGAATTAGTGAACATGTGTAAGTTAGTTGAATATATTACATGTTGTATGTTGATACATGTTGTTAGTTCTTTATACATTAATCTAGCATAATATATATTGGTGATTAAATTGTTGATAATTGAATGATGTTGGTTCTATATCTAGAATAATGTATATAGATGATTAGTTGTTGAACTGTTGATGTGATGATGCTAAGAATGCTTGAGGCATTAAGGCATCAGGGTGTGTTGTGTTTATTGACTTGAGACTAAAAGAGAAAGTATTTTCGAAAGTTGGATATCTCATTATGAGGATATTGTGTGGTGCTTTACGAACCCATTTGTTAAAAACCTTATTGAGTATTTGACTCTTGAAGTAGATAGTTGAGTCTCCTCTAAGACCTTAGTTGATGTAGTATGTGAGAATGTCGAGGTATATTGGCTATAAGTGACCATAGTATAGAGGTTAGGTCTTGCTATATTAATTATAAGTGACTAATGTTGATTTGTATGAGGATAAGGTCGAGACATACATGTACAAAATGACCAATCTAGTTAGGTACAAGATTGTGAACCAAAATCCCTAACTAAGTACTAGAAGAACGTAATGTTTGGAGGGTAGTTGGTGAATTAATTTCATAGGAAGCTTAGTTATGCAAACTAATGTCATGGTAACCTCACACTCAAATTGTTCTACCATGACAAGAATACTAAACTTTTCAGTTTAAATGACAAAATTTGAGAAATCATGTTATGAATTGGTATCCAAATTGATTGTTGATCTAACAAGTGTAAAAAGATCATGCTAGTTCAATAAAGTCAAATCACTTAAATTGCTCATCTTTACTGTAGAAGATCTCCATAGATAAATGCTTAATGGCACATGTAGTTGAAATATTATGTATATGATGTATCAATTGTGATGATGTTCATGTGCTATGTTGAATTGTTGCTGAATTGCATGTGTTAAGATGTAAGTTGAAATTGTTGTATATTGTAACCATGAGATATTATGTTGTAATTATGTTGGTGAGATCGCTTAATGAAATTTTTTTCTCTCAATTAATATTAAGTTTATGTCTTCTAATGTATGACATTTGTTAAGATTTTGATTATATAAGTGTGGGTCTTTTAAAAGTTAAACACAATTATAATGCTTGTGTGACATGTGGTGCAATTAAAGGAAGAATTTCTTGGTCTTCAAATAAGAAGAAATAGAAAAAAAAAAATTAAGGATTTTTTTTTCTTTTTTAAAAAAAATTCATTAAAAGGAAATTTCATCTCTTTATTGGAGAATCTTCTTGTTCTTTTTTATGAGAAATAAAAGGAAGTTCTACTGCAAGAGCACGGATTAACTAGACACTTATAATTTTTTTTTAATATATCAAAAGTACATTAAAAGCATTTAAGCAAATTGTAATATTTTAAAGAAATACAATATTAAAATAAAATTAATAATTTGAAAAGTAAGAACAATATTAGAAGCAATAGTTTTTTTCTCATAATATATCAAAACAAAAAAAATGTAAAAGAAAATCATATGTAATTTTAAACACATTATTTAATTAAATCATACACCTACAAATAATATAATTATCTTAATTAATATCCTTCAAAAAGCACTAAACTAACAAAAGTTAATAGTAAAGATTGAAAAAGAACTTACAAAAAATTTTAAAGATCTAAAAATAACCGAATTTTTTTATACAAAAACTAAAACAAGACATGTTCATATTTGTTGGAACTTAAAACCTATTAGCCATCTATTTTATATATAAATGACTTATTAATCAAAATGATTCTTGTACAACAAAGTTTACAACGAGGAAAGAAAAAATATTTTTTAAAATATAATAATAATAAAAAAAGAAATAAGTACAAAATATAATATTATATACATAAATTGTTGAAGAAATATCATACACATTTATTTATTTAATTATAAATATGATTTCTCTTGTGTGACGAGAGTGGTCATTTTTTCACACACAGCACCCCAATTTAAATTACCTCAACTCATCAACAGTGACCCTCAAAGGCAAAATATCTGACGAACACGACAGTTTAGTTTAAAGCTAGCACAACAGAAATCTTATCTGTTGTGTTCTGCGCTTCACTTCTTCAACCTTGCTTGCTACTCATAACATACACATCGAAATTTGACAACAACAGAAAAAAAAAAATGCATTCCCTAACATGCACACCACTTTCTTCTTCTCTTAAGCCAAACCACAACCCTCTACTTGCTGCAGTTGCAACTTCCAGGCCATATTCCCTACCCTTCAAAACAACAACCTGCTTTACCACCAGAGCCACACTCTCATCCACCAGAGAATCTGTCTTGAACCACTTCCACCAACGAACGGCTCTCAAGGTAAGTAATTTAACCAAAACTCAAGTCTCACATTTATTAGAGTTAAGGCTAAAATATAGTATATAAATGGAGGAAAATCCTCAACTTATAAGCAAGGTATTTATGGTATTTATGGTTGAGTTAATCTATTTTTTTTTAAAAGATTGCTTGTTAAGGCTAGTGCTCAGCATCAAGGTTTTAAAAATAAGTCCCGAGTGTGATTTTGGCTGCAACATCAAAGTTGTTGAGGTCTCTGCAACTGCATAGCGATTGTAACTTAAAACCATGCTAGCATGCATGTATGATGATGATAAACTTTTAAGGGATCACATAAAAAACTAGAATTTTGAAAGGAGAAGAAAAAAAACGAGTGATTGACATTAATCAATGAGTTGCAATGAAATATACAATTTTATTGCATTTTCTAAAAGTCACGGGAACAAGGGAGTTTGGTCAAATATGGGGTGAGGGTTTAAAGAATGTTACTTCTTATCCTTTTCTTTTGTTGAATCCAGTCATTAAAATCTTGTGTTGTGTGCGTAAATTTTCGGTATATTTACTTTATGCATGCTAACAAACATTTGGTTTCTTTTGAAGATTATCTCAGGCTTGCAGAATTTCAATAAAGACAATGTTGCCTCCGTTGTCACTGCTGCGGACAAGGTTGTTTTACTTCTCTCTTGTTACGTTTTCTCTGTTTCTTCAGCTTGTAGGTTATGCAGTACTCATCCATGAAAAGATAAGATCTAGAATCCATGAATTAGTTTTGTATCTAATAGCAAAATATGGATAACCCCAACACTATTCATATGAATTATTATCTTGTGTTTGGAGTTAGGACAATTCCCACCTCTGCATAAATTTTTAATAAATTTTTTTTATCATATTGTAAATAGTAACTTCTTATGCTTTCCTCTTTAAAATATTTCACATTATAATGCAAACTAACATACTAATGTCTTTTATGTTTTGTAATCCTTTTTGGCAACAGGGTGGTGCAACTCACGTGGATATAGCATGTGACCCAGAGTTGGTAAAGCTAGCTATTGGCTTAACTTCTTGTCCGGTAAATTCACACTTCTCTAATAAATTCCTTAGTCACTCTGATTACATGATTTGTGGACATGGGAAAAGGGTATTTGGAAATTACCTTAGCATAAAATTTGATATATAATAATGGGATGTCTTAATCATTCACAAAGTTGCTCTTGGACATGTATATTACTTGTACTTGGTATGTATTTAATTGTTAAAGAACCAATGTCAAACTAGCTAGACATTTATGTCTCTCTGATCATAATTTTGGGCAATTCTCTTGGAAATTCCCTTATATAGTAGGTCTCTTTGTTCTCTGACATAAGACATTATTAGTATGAAACAATACATTTTAACTCCTTTTCAGAAGATGCTAGAGTAGTCAGGAGATTAATTTGATGTTTTGATCCTTTTCCTCCTTCAACCATTTACGGTTGATCCTTCTTTCAGGTTTGTGTTTCCTCTGTTGATCCTGCAACATTTCCAGCTGCAGTTGAAGCAGGAGCACTAATGGTTTGACCCTCTTACCTATTTCCATTTTTTATACTAGTTCCAAGATGATATACTACTCCAAGATGAAAGTTGGCATAAATATATTAGATATTAAAATAGAACTTATGAGATTTTTACTTAACATGATTAATGGCTTTGATAGGTTGAGATTGGAAACTATGATTCATTCTATGAGAAGGGAATGATTTTCACTCCAGAAAAGGTAAAGAGTACATTTCCTTATTAAATCTCGAATTTGTGATGTTTGTCAATCCCACTTATTAGAGAAAAATGAATTTGGATTCCAACTAGACAACTGTTTACCCACAGCACAACTATCCTGTTTGATTTTTCATTATAAATAAGGTGATTATCAAAGCCACTAAAACTTCAGGAAAAAGAATACATATAATTTATATATGTATGTGCATGTCAGTGTATAAGTGTGAGGCTGCAAAGATAAGGTAGAGAAGCAACCAAGGGGTTCTGAGGTCAGATGCTAACAACGATTGCAATGTATATATTTTAAATAGGATTATTTATCTATATAATAAAGATAAATATTATACTTGTTGATCAGTAATGAATAGAGATATAGTATCTTAAGGTAATCAGCAAACAACTGTTAGGGAGTAGAACAAGGCATTTATAAAGATATAGCATCTAGGAAACTTATTCTGTTTTTCTTTTTCCTTATGCAAGTTGATAAAATATTTTGTATGTCTGATCACAATGTTCAACCTTTTTCATCTCTCTCCCTCCCTCCCTCTCTCAGATATAGTTTCATCTGAATTTTTCTTGCTAACTCTCAAGTAAAGTTATTCTGTAACTAATTTTGATGCAAAATTAAACCTTTCACTGGATTTTTTTTTCAATGATCATCCTTATTTGCAGATTCTAGGTCTAACGAAGGAGACGAGGAGGATACTTCCGTCTGTAGTCCTTTCTGTCACTGTTCCTCACACACTAAGCCTCCCTGATCAGGTTACGAACAGTATTTTGACTATCATAGTTCACATTTATACTAATACTATCAATATTGTGCTTATAAATAAATAAAAAATCTAAATCCTTAACAGGTCAAGCTTGCAGAGTCCCTGGAACAAGAAGGTGTAGACATTATTCAAACTGAAGGAGGAAAATGTTCTAATCCTACACAATCTGGTGTTATGGGTTTGATAGAGAAGGTAATAAGAAAATTAATGTTTGTTTACGCTTTACATTCATACGGATTGTTGCTTTAGTAAATGATAGTTGATTATGAAAAATCCTTCGATAAATTATGAAATTTCTAATTACTGGTGATTATAGGCAACACCAACTTTAGCAGCAGCATACTCTATATCACGAGCTGTTAAGATCCCTGTCATGTGTTCATCGGGGCTAAGTGCTGTCACAGCACCTATGGCTATAACAGCTGGGGCTGCTGGTGTGGTATGGACTTTTGTTGAAATTCTTTCTAATATAATTTTTATAGCAATCATAAACTGATAGACCTTACTTATGTAATATTCTTCCTTTTGGTGGCAAGTTATTGATCCATGTTTCCTAATCACAGGGTGTGGGATCTGCAGTTAATAGACTTAATGATGTGGTTGCTATGATTGCTGAGGTCAGAAGCATTGCTAATTCATTGCAGACACCATTTCAGATATCCACTACACACGAAGTGGAAACTCAAAGACAGTAGTTCAATAAATGGGCCTATGTTGTAAGAAACGGCTGAAGGAAGTGTAGGTAGTGAATAAAACGTGCAAAGAAAATTTGGACCCTACCTTAATAGTAAGAACTGATAGGTTCCATATTTCTTTGTCCTTTATATTTCGGACTTTGTTATTTGATTCAATTTTTTGTGTTCCTGGATGTTGATCCCGCTGTGTCAAAGAATTAAGAGAAACAGTTAAGTATTTGGAATTTTGGCTTCATTAATGGGTGGAGTTGGCCAGTTGAGTGGAATTATGTATGTATTGTTGGTTGTTCTTTCGCCATGATCCCGGAAGGTGTTTTTTTTACTATAAAAAAAATGTCATATTTCAAGTCATAAAATGTTAGTGGTACTGTGGTAGGTTTGCTAATGTTAGTAGCTTTACAATCAAGAATTGGTGTGTTAATATAGTGATTATGGATTTACACTAATCAACTTATAGTATGTTAAAACTATAAGAAACTTCTTATATTCATGTTAAGCATGCGCTGGTATAAGAAACTCTGAATACCACAATATTGAGTAACATTAGTTTCCATTGCACAAAGACTACGTTAATGTGTAAACCTAAATAACTAATAATTTTCTTTTCTCTATTAAGATGTCACCTTGTTTTATTTGTAGCGATATAAAGATGTCATTTTTCAGGGGTTATACCCGTCATACATTAATACATCTTCAAATCATTTAAAAATTAGACAACAAAGTTTGCAAAGCATTCAGTGATGTCATGGCTGGTATTGTTTGTTACTTTTAAAATAAATAAATATCATAGTTTTCGTTCAGAGCACCAAGCATTCATGTTAACAGACTTAGGCCATTCTACGAGTAGCGTGTTTGGACTCGCGTAAATTGGAATTTTTACGTTAAATGTGACAAAAACGTAGAAGTTATATATTATGTGTCTGGAGACACAGTGCATGAGATATAAACCAAGTCTATCAGAGACAACTTTTATGCGTATTTTGAACCTTTACGCAGCATTCACTATCTCAACATATATGCCCAAATCTGCAAATTTAAACATCTAAATACAACTAATGTACTTTACACATGGCACAGAAATGATAATTATCAACAAGGACAAATAAGAGCTGAATATACAATTGTTAGTCCAAGCAGTTTCAATTAATACAGATCCAACCTTGCATAGTTAGAAAAAATAACGTGACTTTACTCTTCGAACTCTGATTCCTCGTCAGATTCTTCAAACTCGCCACTTTCCTGCCAATCACCAGAAAATAATTTGTATATTTCATAAGTGGGAAAACAAGATCACTCACTAGCCATGAAAATGACAATTTGCTTACCATTTTCTTGTTAAATTCTGCAACTGCTCTATCAAATTCTGCACGCTTTTCTGTTGCAATATCATAGTATTGAACCTTCTCCTGTCAGATACAAGTGTTATTGTATTAACATAGAACTCACCCATGTGATCTTTTTCTTATTGCTAAGACCTAAAGGAATAAAGTATATGCAAACTTGATTCTCCTTTTCAAATAATCTAGAATAAAAGGGACTGTATGTCTCAAGTTCAAGTTCTTCCTATACACCATTCAAAGACTCAAAGTTCTATCCAAACCGTAAATTAAAAAATAAAGTTCTATAAACCTGATGTTTTAAAGTTTTGAGTTAGGATGTGGTGTCAATCACTTATGTTGTTTGTTCACAACTCGTTATGGAGATCTCCCCAATGTTTAACCCCCCTAGCATCCCCCACAAAACCCTTTTCCTTTGCCATTTTAGGTTTTCATGAAATTACAGGATCATCACAAACCATGTGCAGTCAGGTCTGACCAAGAACTAATTCAAAGTTCAAACTTTTATGTAGTTAATACACAGCTGCATTACAAGCCTACATAGATACCATTTCCAACGCCACCAACACCATTACAGTACCAAAATCCAAATAATACACTCAACATTCATCAATCAAGAAACTAAAGATAATCTCATACTTATTTTATGTTATAGGTTCTGAGTATACCATTTTTCTAAGATTGAAGTGCTGAGAGAAATATCATGTATTGTTGTAAATATGAATATCTTAGGAGTTTTGATATAATATTTTCTTATTCCTTTTATATTTGTTTACTTTCATAGCAATCTGTTTTAGGGACAAATGTATCTTTACAATAGGGTAAGAGAAGGATGCAAATGGATGTTCTCAGTAAAGCACATAGCTGATGGAACAATAGCCGGGTACAAAGCAAGATTGGTAGCCAAGGGATATACATAGAATTATGGGATAGACTATGAGGAGACCTTTGCATCAGTGGCAAAGATGAATATAGTACGAGTTATACTTTCACTTACAACTCATTTTGGTTAGGACTTACATCAGTTTGATGTAAAAAATGCCTTCCTACATGGAGATTTAGAAGAAGTTTACATGGAAATTCCCCAATAAAACAAAGTATGTAGATTAAAAAAGGCCTTGCATGGACTCAAGTAGTCTCCACAAGCATGGTTTGCAAAATTTACCCGGACAATGACTTCTTTGGGATGTAAACAGAGCCAAGGGGATCATACTTTGTTCATAAAGCACTCCCCTAATGGCAATCTCACATTACTTTTAGTCTATGTAGACGACATGATTATTGCAGGTGATGATGAAAAAAAATTGACCCAGAAGAAGAAGTTAGCAACACAACTTGAGATTAAAGACTTGGGGAAGCTAAAGTATTTCTTGGAAATTGAAGCTGCTTATTCCAAGAAGGGCATATTTATATCTCAAAGAAAATATGTCCTTGATCTTCTTAATGAAATATAGGGAACATTATTGTTGATATTTTTAAGACTGCTGCATAACTGAATGCTGAGCAGAAACAAAATACTGGGATGTGGGAATTCAGCTGGGGTAAGATGACAAGATAAGAGATAAGAGGGAAACATAGGTAGTGCAGGGGAGGCATGGATTGAGAGGTAAAGGAAATGGGTTTGGAGCAAAGGTTAAGTGCATCTACAGAACTCTAGACTTATCTTTTATTTTCTGCATTTTCTGTTCATGTAAGGAGGTAGTCCCTGTTTCTTTTTATCAGTAAATATATCAGTTCCTATTAGTATATCAGCCTGGAAATGCAAAAGTAGTCATAATGAAAATTCCAATTGCTTTAAAAATAATAAAAATGTTTTTCTTCTTCACATGCTTTGTTTACTCAGTTTCAGCCATAAAACATCACAACCATAATAATGAAATTCAAGTTGACAAGAAAAGGAGAGGCTATTGAAGAAAACTAACCTCATAAGTCATTGTTTTCCACTTCTCTCCACATGCCTTGCCAATCTGAATGAACAAAGGATGGAATAAAACAAAACGGAATTATATTAATTTGCAGAAATAATAATAACCAAGCTGCTATTTTCAAAACTACAGAAAAGTGTAAAAACTTCTTACTAATCCTAAAATTACGGGCAATTTTTAAAAATCAATGTTCATTGCTCAACAGCCGCAACTTTTATGTTGTGTTGGCTTTTAGAAATTGAAAATTTGTAAATGATCAGTTGTGCAACAATCTTCCTTCAAGAGCAATTAACAATATAAACTAAATTAGAAGAAATATTAATAGAATGGATTCAACACATACATCACGCATTGACTTTACATCTGGATTCTGCTCTTGAAATTCTTTACGAAAATCCTCCCTTAAGAATGAAAAAGAACTTCCAGTAAACACAATTGAAGATAAAACTTTCCATATAAGAAAGAAGTAGTTATTTGTTAAAAATGGTGATGATCACCATGTAAGGTTCAGTGCCATATACAAAGCAAATAGAATTATATTGAACACAGAAAAATAAAAGAAGCTAAAAGCAAGGAAAGGAAACTATCACAAGAAAATCAAGTTTAAATGTCACAATAATCATGTTTAAAGATGAGTGGTCAGTTTAATTCTTGAACTTCAAACAATGATGCATTCAAATACAACTTGTATATATGCTAACTTGGACAAATACTGACCTCCTCGGCATTATTCCTCTAAAGCTAAATATATTCTACTTTTGAATCCCGCATAAATTGAAAAGAAAATGCGTAAAACTGAATGATTCTCATCAACTTTAGTGATGGCATTACCTCCAAAGTCCAAAGGTAAATACAAGGACCAGCAAGATGGCCAAACAAAGTAAGCATATAATATCAATCATAGGTTGTTCATTCTAACAATGAACAACAAATATTTTGCTACTTTTTAAGAGAGCTTATATTTTCAGAAACTCAAGATATGCAAACAAAGCTATGGAAATGCCATATATCTAGAAAACACATACATGAAACTAAAATGGAGATAAATTCATATAAATTTAAACTTCCTCCAAAACATTATAAGTTATAACAAATGGGAAGAACAAAGACTAGCTAACACCTCATAAAATATTACAAGTAACCAGCACATTAAAAGAAAAAGGGGAAACAAAGGTAGCTTTACAAGAAGTAGAAGAAAGCAGTGGGAGGTTTCTTTGGTTTCTTGGCATCAATCTTCTGTTTCTTCTTCTTTTGCTTTGCTATGAGTTTCTTTCTTGAATTTGTCTGCCGCACTGATCTCTTGATTCCCTCGTTTGATTTAATCCTCAACACTAGTTTGCTGAAAAATCCATTTTAGCATAGTACTTAGTTATGGAAACAATTTTAGAACATATTTGAATGTTATCATCAATCCACCCCCTCTTTAACAAACAACAAATGAAACCAGAGAAGTAAACCTATACACCCATTAGAACTTCACAATGTCATCATTGTATTTAGTTTCTGGTCTAAAGTTCGAAGCCACCACTAAATATCAACAACAGACCTGAATTTTATCATCTCTTTACCCTTTATTTCCTCAACTGTTGAACAATTAAATGTTGAATTCCAGTCTCTGAAGCAATAGAAAACTCTAACCAAACAAATAAAGAGTATCCTCAAACGACCACCCTAAGTTTCCCGGCAATTGAAACAACACCAAAACTTGCAAAATGCAACACATGAAAAATGAAGACAGAATCCCACCCAATATTTATAATTTATTGTCTCTTCCTTCACAGATTCCTCCACCAACTAGCAAAGGGAGCAAAATGTTTCCAAAGTATAGTAACAAAAAAAATTCAAGTAACTACACTTACATGACAAACACGATGACCCAAATGAGAGAAATCACATGGAAATAGAAATTGTTTTGAAAAAAAATACAAAAACCAAAACTTAATTATGTTATTTGACCATTCCTTCTTCGGGGCTCCATTGGAGAAAGTGAATGGAACTGTAGAACAGTGAGAGTGACAGAGGAAGGGAATGGAGAGTGTGATGAGATTAAGAAAGAGAAAGTGAAGAGAAATGGGTACACTACCCGGAAGAGGCAGAGGTCGATGGAGAAGAAGCAGAGTGAGACCCTTTTGCCTTTTTCGCCATCTTTGTTTGAAGACAAGACACCCAAACGATGTCGCCTTGGAGCAGTCATTTTGCATTTATAATTATAAATACCTTTTTTGACAAAGAAAACTAAAATCAAAGATGACTGACCCTAAATTTTAACCTAACACTTCAAATCCCTAATTTGATTTTCTTAAAATAAATTCCTACGGAGTATATTTTAAAGGTTTGTGATTGTGAGCAAGTCCTTTAACTTATGAATTATTTTTAGTTAGCTTCTATCGTATTTCTATTAGGAATTCGTTAAATACTTAATTCAATATTTTTAAATAGTTTAAAAAATTATTAAAACAGTATTTTAATTTGTGTATTTCACAAATTAAATATTTGTTACATATAATTGCATTTAATTTACAAATAAGTACTATATTTAAATTTTATATAAATAGATATTTTAAATATATAAATTATGTTTTTGATTTAAGATAAATAATTTATATTACAACATAAAATTATTTTTAATTATTGATAATTAATTTTAAAATATTAAATTTTAATTCATAAATAAATATGATAAATAAAAAATTGAATTTGATAAAAAGTTGAAAGAATATTCGAAAATATTTTCGTTAAAGAATAATTTTTAAAAGTATTTTCATGTAAAATAAACATTCGTATTTAATATATAAAAGTTGATAATTATGTAATACTAGACTTATTTTTCTCAAATTTTATATATGAAAAAATAATACTCAAAAGAAAAATATCATAAATAAATATTTTTGAGCATAAAAATTTAGCAAGTATCTTATTTTCATTTTGTTATTTATTTCGGTTTTTATTGTGATCTAGATTACAACAAATTTAAATTCTAAAAATTGAGATTATAATGATAGTAAATTTGTATATGACAAGGATTAAAATAACAATAACATATAAAAGTTAGGGACAATAATATAAGTGAGGGATTTATTTGGTATTTTTTTAATGTTAAGGATTGTCATGATAATATCCTATAAAGTGAGGGATCAAACTATTAGTTTATTCTATCTCTAAATATTTTAAGGACTTGCATCTATAACTATATAAATGGAATATATGTTTTTGGTATCCACTTATTTTAAGACATTTATACTTCTATGTCATATTTTAATGATTTTTTGTTAATCTATTTCTAAAAGATAAAATAAGAAGAAAAAAAATTACACAAAACAAGTTAAGTGTCCACTTATTTTTTTTTTCTTCAATGAAGGCTCGTTTTAATATTATCTTGCAAGTCTTTAGGGTTTACAAACACCGACTTTTTAAGTCTTACATAAAAAAGGTTTGTAGTTTGGTCCTTAAAATTGTTTTGAAAATCATATATACCACTAGTGTAAGTTTTTTCACATACAATATCTCTTAAACAATAAACTTGAAGTCAAAACAATTAATACTAAGAAAGTTATTAGGTCATTAGCCGACTAAAAAATGTTGGTAAGTTCTCTCAAAAATAGATATGATAAGCACAATTTAAGCACAAATCGTAATTTGATCTACTACTTGATTCATTCAAACAAGTCAACATTTTTTACTTTTAGGATGCTCTCATAGATAACACAAAACTAGTACCGTCAATAACATCTAGTAAACTTTGAGATATAGGCACCATAATTAAGCATGCTTTATTATAAGAAAAAAGTTAAGATGGGCCATTTGTAAAATTTACCATGCACCAAAAGTTTTAACAGTTAGATTAATCTGATTATAATAAATCATATCTACATCAATCACACCAAATTATTTCCCTCTACTTTCCACAACTGAGTTTCTTTGAGGTATAGAATGTTCCCATTTTCGCTTAACACTGATGGTAGAATAATCCCATTTATTATCTGATGTGGTTAACACTTAACATATATAAATATAACCGACCAGTGTGAGATTGATTTAACGGATAAATTTTTCACCATAACTCCCTTCTTATTATAAATTATCAAGCACCATATTATCTAAACTCCACCCCTGCCATAATCACTTCGTTTGATTGGTTTGCTAAGAAGAAAAAAATAAGTAAAAAATAAAATAGATAAAAACAGAAATAAAAGAAACAAGTAAATAAAAATAGTTGAGAAATAAAAGAAAAATAAGATTGTTTGATTTAAGAAAAATAGAAATTAAAAAATAAAGAGCCTAGGGTACGCATAATTTTCATATGTTCTTATAATTTTTAATAGATTATGGTCTTTTAATGGATATTTCCACTTTGTGGTGATAGTTAGACTGCGGTTATTATTATTATTATTATTTTTTTTTATAAAAAATTCAATTGTGGTAGTTTTCGAATCATAGAGTGAATTGTTATAAATATTTTGATGCCGAGTTTGATTCCATAAATTTAAAATAAAAATAAAAATCTCACATTTGGCAACTGAGTAGGTTCTATCTTGGTGGCTTGATCAAATGTTCAGATGGATTTTGGTGCATGGTTCTCAACTTTTAATAATTTTCAATTAATAAAAATAAGTATATTATATTGCTAGCACTTTTACTCTTTCTATTTTCTACTAGCAGAAAAAAGGCATTTCGTGTTTACATTATATTAAAAAAAAGAAAAAAATAAATAAATAAGAAAAAAAATGAAAAATTACTCATAAAAAATGATAGTTATTAAAAAATAAATAAAAGATCAAATGATCCATATAAAAATAGAAACCAAAAATAGTTATTAAAAAAATAAATAAAAAATAAAATAAGAAGTTACTCATAAAAAAATAGTTATTAAAAAAATAAATAAAAAATAAAATAGTCCATATAAAAATAGAAACCAAAAGTAGTTATTAAAAGTGGTATTCCCTTTATATGTTAGTATAGATAAAAGTATAAAAAAAAAACTGATTTTACAAATTAAAAAAATTAATTACTTATATTAAATTTTATTAATATCATCATATTTTTTTAATTATCATGTTATAAATATTCAAAGAAATAATATAATTAAAAGTCATATATTAATGAAAGTATATTTTAGGGAGAACATCATATAAAAGTATTTAAAATTTGTTTATATTAAAAAATATGTATAATAAATAAAAGATGAAGAATTGATTTCCCACCAGCTCTTAGCTTATTAGAGGGGTGTATTACTTTTGTGTATAATCTTCTTGTTTTTCGTTTTTTGCTTTTAATTATCTATTTTCAACAAAAAATAAAAAATAAAGAGAGAGAGAAGGACTATTTATTAAGGCGTCTATTTAGGTTGAATGCACGGCATTAGAGTTCTCATTTGTGAATCAGATTGAGTAGTTGTTTTTGATCTTATTAAGAGCGACGCAGTGCATACTCATCATTCCGTTCCTCTCATTTGTGACAGCAAAGCTGTAATATAACGGGTAACAATCTAAATTTTTTAAAATTATTAAAAAGATGTATTAATTAATTAAACAATTATAAGTATTTTTAATTAATTAAAAATATTTATGAAGTTATTTTGTCATAAAAAAAATTTAATCATGTAATTAAATATTTTACAAAATATATTTTTATAATATGAGATATTTAATTAAGTTTTTGTTTTAAAAATAAATGAGGGAAATAGCATTTTTATAAGAAGGAGTTAAGTGTAGTTAGTTTACGCTGTTGGTATTTCACACTTATACTTCTCTTTATGTTCAAAAGAAGGCAATCATTTTATAATATTGTGTTTGTTGACGAGTGCTCATCAACAGGGGAGTGAGTAGTCTAATTGATGATATATGTGTGTGTATGTGTGGGTGTGTGTTTAATTGCATGAAATTAACTAATTTCTTGGATCTTAGATTGCTCATGGATTCTTGTGGGAACCCTAAGAGATAAACGTATTAGGTTAATAAGGGATAATTGAAATGTTTTGTATGAATGAGTGAATTGTTAAGTTATAGATGAATATTTTGAGTGTTAATTATGCTTGTAATCAATTGAATTGAGATAATTTAGTTGAGTGTGAGTGTGAGTGTGAGTTTTATTGTAGTGAATTTTTCCCCAAGGGAGCAAATGACACGCTCATGTAACTAGAATTAGCGTGCATCCACTTGCACACCCATACAAAAGTTTTAAATGATTGAATTAACTTTCAATACCTTCATAAGAGTTATAGCCTTAGATGTTGACTTCCTAATGTTGTTGGAATCACAAAAAAAAAGAGGTTTAGAACTCAATTTATGATTAAATTAGTGAGCGAAAGTCAAGTTGTCAAACTTAGACTCAAATGCTACGATTTTGTAATTTTTAAAAGTGATGGATGACAAAATTAACTCTTGGGATCAACATACAAGTTATAAATAATTGTCTTAACTTTCTAACAAAATTAAGATAAACTTGATAGCATGTACATAGCTTTAGATATGTGTTTAAATATCATATTTGGACCACACGAAGTCATGGAATATTAACTTATGGAAATGCAGTTTGTGAATGATGATGATGAATGACTGTGACTTTTAAGTGTTTGATCTTATGAATGGTTTGAGATACCTATATCAATGTTTAGGAAAGATAAATCATGGGAGAAAATGATTGTGAATAAGTTATGATGTGAGTTAATTAGTGTTTTGATGATAGCGATGCTTAAAGAATTAATGTGTGATATCAATAGTATTACAAGACTAGTTAAGTTATCAATTTAAATACTTAGTTGTTAGTGATATCTTAGTGATTATTGTTGAGGTATTAACATATGATTAGATGATTTCATTATGATTATATCTTAAGTGTTATTGGGCAATATTATGGACACTGTATTTGAATTACGAACATGTGACTCTTGTGTATTATAACGGATTGTGCATGTATTAGTTATTTTATCCAAGTAAACATTATATGTGATGAATATGTATTTATGATGTTGTGAGACATGAATGATGTGGATGATGTGAGTTGTTATTCACAAATTGGTAAATCAATGTACGTGGATCCTGTGAGGGTCATGTGAGGGAAAATTGAAAAATCATTGAATGTATATTGTAATAATATGATATTGCATCGGATCTTGAGTGACATGCATCATATGCATAAATATTTTTAATGGGTACGAATATAATACACTACTAGAGAAGGTTTCATTAATGTAAAAGCTTGGAGATTCATGACCTTGGGGACAATTGAGTTTGAGAGTCCCGATTTTGCTTGCTTGTGCATGCGCTGGAACTTACACAACACAGTTGTCCCGACAAGCCATTAATGTATCTCCTAATGTAAAGTGCAATGAAGGTGTACGTTGACATGTTCTCTAAGGCTACTCTTTGTGTGCCTTCGAACAAGCAACAAATTGATGTTTTTTTTAATGACACTACATGCATGTGTATTTCGAAGTCCATATTCATTACATCATGTATATTAATGTGTAACTATGTGATGAACCTTATTGTGACCTTTGATTGACTTGCTACATTATCTTGTTAGAACTATATCTTGTTATTGCTATATCTCGTTGTTATATCTTGATGTTGTATGTTTGATTATCCAACTATGTTCTACGTTGTGAGTTAGAATAATGTTTCTCACTCTTTTTTTTTGTTAGTACTCTTATATATGTGTTGCAAGTGAGGATCGTCATATAAATGATGATGCTAGAGATAATGCTTATGCTTTGTGTTGGGTGTTGTGTTCTTATAGGATATGACATGACAATTTAGTTAGAATTTTCATTTTGTTTGTTCCCTTATGTTTAGAACTTCATGTTAGATTTTGTTTTGTAATTACTAAATTGAACATTTGTTATAGTTCTTTTTGTGATATATTACTATGTGATATTTATATTTAAAGGGATTTGTGAATCTTTATTTAATTAACAAAGTATATTTTGAATACTTTTACATCTTTATTATTTTATATGTCTATGTTGATATGTGAGGTAGAGGATGTTATATAATAGTTCAAGATCAAAACTTATTTTTCACTTAATAAAAGGAATTGACTGCATTTATTATAGGTCAATGATCACTTATCTTTATTAGTACTCTAATTGATTAAAAAAAAATGGTAAAGACTTACACATTTTTATTTACCCCTTTCCTCGTTTCATAACAACCAAAAAAAACTTGTACTTTTTATTTCTCATCATTTCCCTCTCTTTTCTCTTTTTCCTAGCAAGTTCTTTGCAATTAAACAATGCATGAATGATTCCTGTATATTAGGATAACAAACGTAAAGTTAGGAACGTGCGAAAGTAGCTCCTCCGGCCCCATTAGATAAAAAAGATATCAACGAATTCATGTGGGTATGAATTCCATCTTTTCAATATACTATCATTTAATCTTAAATATATAATATATTGAAATGAGGGAATTGCAGTATTCTATAATCATTCACACCATGTGACTCTCTAGGGCATTGCAAATTTGCTATGGACAATGGATTCCGGTTTCTCATATTCTCATTAGCCAAAGATAAAGCCGATATAAATTGGAACAAACTTTTAACGATACAAATAAGTTATCACATGTTAAAATAAGAAAATAAAATAATTTATAAAATATTCATATACTTTATTAATTAATTTTTTTTAATTATAATTAAAAATAAAATTACAAGAGTATAAATCTAAAATTAAAATAATCGATAAAATAATATAAAAAACAATGACAAAACTTAAATAAAGTTTTAAAATGTATTATAATTTTATCTAAGTAATATGTACTAATATTTAATGTAGATTTTATTAAAACGCATGAGTTTATACATATTACAAATATAAAACTTTAATTTTAATTGAAAAACGACACTTCTCTCGATGAATTATATCCCATCAAACAAATTACAAATCCAATAACTCTAACAACTCTTACCTTACTGTTTTAGACGAATCCTTAATCCACCGTTTATAACTTAAATGCAAGTTTATGGAGTGCCAGATTAGAAGGATAAGAATAATAAAAGAAAAAAATGCTTAAATATATTTTTGATCCTATAAAATTAGCAAGTTTTAATTTTAGTCTCTATAACATTTTTTTTTTATATTTTTCATTCCTATAAAATTAAAACTGTTATTTTTAGTCCTTATTTTTATGTAATTATTTTTTATTTATTAAAAAGTTAAGTAATCATTTTAAGTATTACCTACAACCAAAAATTTATAAATCTTTAAAATAAATGTTATTTATCCACCTTAAAATGATCATTAGAACCTAAAAATTAGTTTAAATTTTAGAAGAATAAAAATTAAAAAAAATATTTTACAGAGATTAAAATTAAAATTTACTCATTTTACAAGTACTAAAAACAATGTTTATAAATTTTAGAAAGATGAAAAACAAAGAAAATTTTTTAAAGGGACCAAAATTCAAATTATTAATTTTAGAAGAACTAAAAATATCTTTAAACCTAATAGTTATTATATTTTAATTTTTACAAGCATTAGTAAAATTGGCATGAGTGAAAGTTTTAAAAGTCAAAATCTTGTTGGCCAATAAGATTGTACTAATATGTTAGTAACATGTACAATATGTGTGGCAGTACAATTCCAACAGTCTCATATTAGTTGATATAATGATATAAGTAAAAAAACAAATAACATTTAAATAAACTCAGGATAAATAAATTTTCAAACATCCTTTATTTTTGACATCTTACATATGGGATAACAAAACAACCAAACACAATTAGAGTGATCATAATACATTTTCAAATTTTTATTATAATACAAATTATTTATTATAAATTTAAATATACTTTATACATTTAAAAATATTTATATATATACTAATTTTGAATATAATATTTATTTTTATATAATTTATTATAAAATTTAATTATATATAATAAATATGTCGGTGCAATTTATAGACGAAAATACTACTTCACTCCAAATGGTTGTAAATACAGAGTACAAGTCAAGACTCTTAACACATCCAAAGATTCCAAACCACAAAAGCTACACCTCTGCCAACAGGTGAAACGTAATACTCAAAAGTCACCAAAGTTAAACCACAAGGGTACATGTTCCCAAAATGTCATACCACAAGTCATACCCCTCCGAAGAATCGAAATGAACGGGTGTGTTTGGGAAAAAATTACGTTCAATATAACTTACTTTTAATCAAATAGTATGTAAAAGTCCATTAAGTGAATTTCAAACGATAAATCAAACACACAATTACTAGACTACACGAAGATAAAAACATAGGAAACATAAGTTTCATAACCTTGAACGAAACCAATATAAATATATGAAGGTTCTTATTCTGTTCTGCCCTGACATGATTACTGCTTCACAATACTTTGAGTTTAACTTCCATCAGTTCCATGTTGCAATCTCCACTTCCATGCATATGCATAAGATATGCCCACCAAACATTTGTTAAGAAACCTCCTGCAAATTTGAGACTTTTTGTCGCATATCATGTCCCGAGCTACTCCCAACATCTTCAATTTGACAAATACAACACAACCTTATACTACCTCATTCTCTTTCGCCATGCACTCTATAACAAAATTTAAATTCTTGCAACACAACTTTAAGGTTTCAAAAAATCATTTACTTAGGGAATAATTGAATCTACCCATAACCATGATCTATTTGGGTGGAAAACTTTTGTAGTTCTCTTTTTATTATCATAAAAATAAAGATATAATAAAAACTTATTGAATAAGAACTTGATTAAATTATTAAACGAGATCTTAATTAAGTTGTCTTGCTTACAAGTTCCTCAAGTTTCTATTCTAAAATCCCAAGCTTCTTTAATTTGTTCATTCCTCTCATCCATGCCCTAAGCTCACAAACTCACAAGACTACATAGCTGGAGCAATTATTTTCATAAAAAAAAAAGGAGTTGATTTGAACAAAACTAACCTAACTTTTGGGCAAACCCAAAATCAATAACATGTTAGTTATGTTTCATGATTTTTTTTTTTCCTAGTACATGTGTTTTCTAGTCCCCCGGACTAGTTTTCACAAACACAAACTCTTGGCTAAATAAATTATCCTTATAAGTATCTAATCACTTCCTCAACTCATAAAGCAAACAAGTAGCCATTGCAAAACAATTAAATACACTCTATCTTTATTTTAAGAAAGAGATAACTAATTTGCTAATAAAAACAATTTAACGAATTAATAAAATGGTAAATTGAAATATAATTTGACGGGTTACGTACCTCAAAGGTTAGGTGAATTGGCACCGGTATTAATGTCGGCGCCATTAAAATTCTGGGATCCGTTGGCGTGGTTGTTGAAAGAGTGAACAGTTCCAGAGCAGTGGTTGGCATTTCCAATATGTAACATTCTTGCGATTCTAGATGCTGGCGATCTGAAGAAGCGGTTAGGTGGTTGTAGCGTTACCGCAGCAGTGCTAATTTTTGCACCCTGGAAGTCTTGTGATCCACTTCCGGCGTTGTTAAAGGAGCAGAGAGTCCCAGATCCAGAAGAAGCGGAGCGTGAACCGCTGTTAACGGTTGCATGGCGGAAATCCTGCGAGCCTTGTCCGAAGTTGTTGAAGGAAGCTAGGGTTCCAGAAGTGGGAAGGGGATCGTTTGGGGTGGGAGTGGAAGCTGAAGCAGCGGTGATGATGCTGTGATAGTGATCATGGCCTATGTGGGTATGGGTAGAGGGGTTACTATCTCTTCCCCTTGTGGGATTACCATTGCTCCCTCTAGCCATGCTGCTTTGCTTTTTCGCTTTCTGTCACAAATGGCGACTGGAAGTGGAGCACAAAGAATCATAGATTAAATTATAAAAAGTAAATAATAAATTAGATAAAAAAATTTATTTAGACTAATTAAATGGTTTAAAATTTAATATATTTTTGCTTATAAAACAAATCTTCATGAGGCAAAGTGGTGTTTTACTTGCTTTAGGATTAGGTTTTCCTTGTCGCTTTGTGTACACATTCAGCTGAGTGGGTGACTAAGTTGAGGTCTTCTTTATGCGGTTTTATTTGACTACTTTTACTTACAACTTGCACGCCACACTTTTTTCTAAGAGTGTCCTGCTATTCCACAAGTTTACAATTCCTTTAAATAATTTATTACTTAATTTCATGTACGACTTTCGTCAATAACAAATTTATTTAATACTAATTTTTTTTTTATAGAAATTACTTACTTTATAAATTAACTGAAGGAGTTTATAAGTTTAGTTTCTTATTTTATTTTCAATTAAGTTTTAATTTTCTTTTTATTTCTCAACAGGTTTCTCTCTCATGCTTATAAAGAGTTTTTTTATATTATTTGATTTATTTATCGGATTATTCCTTGATTCAGTGATAAAATTATTATTTTTAATTCATTGAGAAGGTTCTCCTAGTTCTCTAATTGGATTATTTTCATTGATTCAAAAAGCATTTCAATACCCTTGTTGGGAGCACTGGAGCTTGATGTGGGAGGCAGGGAAAGTGCCATTGCCCATATCATCGACCACTGCCCTTTTTGAATCGGTTATTTTTTCGTTTTTGAGAGTTATAACAAATACTTTTTGCTATTTTTCTACATCTTTTATTCCTCTTCCTGTTGTGAGGAACCTAACACAATTTAGCTCCTTCAATTGGTCAAATTACTCCAAACCTTGGTTCCGTTACGAGCGTCGTTGCCAATACCATGGAGATGATTATTGCATCCACCTCAAGCAAAATTGATTTTTTTCTTTTTATATATACAAATGTCAAACATTAAATAGATGCAAACTTTTCCATCAACCAGATTCATCAAGAAATATAGATATCATTTATCAATTTTCTATACTACACTTATTTCAAAGTGGTATACTTAGCTAAAACATTTAGCCATTAGGTTGTCCATCAACAAAACTACATTCGACCTATCTGACTCTTTAAGTGAAAATATTATGTATAATCATTATAAATATCAAATAAATATAAATAATAAGAATTAAGATAATTATCAAAATTATCCTTAATCTTTAACAATAACGTATTCATCATTTTATATCATACTTTATAGGGTTTCAATTAATCGAACAAGCTTCTTATTTAACCAAATATAACTCCATTTGATTAGGTCGTATAAAGATTCCTCATGCTATTAACAAAAAAGTATGAAGGGCTCTTTATCCTCCCAATCACCATCCAATCGAGAAGGTCAATTTTCAGGATCACTCACATATTGTTTATCAAGTTAACTCCCCGAGAGTTAATCAATGCAACAATTCTCACATAGATTCGAGTAGAATTATAAATGCATACAATAGACTTATTATAGGGATAAGATCCATGCATTTTTTAAGGGATTGAGATTGAAGGAAAAAGATTCATATCCTTAATATGACACTCATATATATAGAAAAAGGGTTTTATGTCTAAGTAGATTATACTCATTTGAATCTTCTAAATTAGGATGATGACTAAGTTCTCGTAGAGCTTGTAGTACTAAGGATTCTTTGACTGTTATTCCTTTATTGGACCACATGATGTCATCCATGACATTTAGGCATAGAAATTTCTTTTGAGGACATATAACCATTTTACACCAAGACGTCTATCCAATCCAAATCACTAATTAAAATCATGCTAGATATGTAAATATAAATTAGGATTGTGACACCTTTTACATCGCATATCATAACATACAAATCATTAAAACTAAACAGAAAGGTTTTTCATAAATAAAATCCAACGTGTTCAACATAAAAAGTATCACATTTTCAACAAAACAAAACCAACCGAAAATTCAATAGAGTCTATTACAAGAAAACTAATAATCATCTCAAAGCATGACAAACGAAGATAATCCCAACAGCAAGTACTAGGACTCATCGACAACATCCTCAATCTCATGATGTAAATCACCTGCAAGAATATACAATAGAAAAAAACACAAGGAGAACGAGAAACATCTCACTTTGACTTATGATATAAGATGTAATTAGACAACCAAATACAAATAATAATTAAATACCACATTACAATAAAATGCATTATGCAATGGACATGGACTATATGTTATCATGCATGTGACGCTAGTAAAAATATTACATATCACACTTGTGCATTGTCGTCAGCAATACACAAAGTATCTTAAGAGTATATGTTAGGTCACACCTTCGGTACACCCTCGTTAAACACCCTCGTTCAGAGAACATATTGTTAGGATTTGGTTAAAATATTTGAATCACATAAGATATATTCCATTGACACAAAGGACGAGATTATCTTATAAACAAGTTTATTTAATTTTTTTTAATGAATAGAAGAAGTTCATCTAGACTTGATTATCTCAATGACTTGTTAACAAGATAGATGAGACAGAGAGCAGGTTTGTTGTCTCAGTTTGTATACCGAGAATGAAAACGTCTTAAATCTTAATCCCTCATTCACATGTCCTCAGTTCACAAAAAAAAAATCATAATGTTTGACCGTGAGCCTACACTACAGAAAAGCAGACAGAGAAGCAACAAAAATAAAAGGGATAAAAGTGTGATTATTTTATTTAAAAAAGTTATGAAAGGTGATAGAGAGAAAAGACGAGACAGGTACCCTTAAACAATAATGCGGGCACCCTCCAAATTTTGGGATCCGGTGGGGCAGTTGAAGGAGTGATTAATTCCGGGGCAGGTGAGTAGGGTGACAAGCTTTTGTAAAAGATTTGCAGCCCAGTTGCCGGCGTGGTTGAAGAAGTTATGAATTCCGTGGGTGCGGTTGGCACAGCGAATGAGTGAATCCTTGAAAACTTGTGAGCCTGATCCACGGTTGTTAAAGGAATCTCGAATTCCCAAAGTGTTGATGGTTGCATTGGTGAAATCTTGTGAGCCGTTTAGGAGGTTGTTAAAGGAGTCTAGGATTTGGGAGAAGTGGTTGCTCTCACTTGCCATCTGTTTAATAGCCTTTTCCGCTCAACTCTCTGTATACTACTGGCTTCAACTTCAAAGCTGTCACCATGGCAACTTCAACTTGTTACCCAAAATGACCATTCTGTCCATTCACTTGCCTTCACACGTGCCACACATCACGCTAGCTACTGCCATTTTTTTTCATGTCTCCCCTCTGCATTTTTTTTAATTTATTTACCCAGACTTAGTTAATTTTTTTATTAACAATAAAGTAACTTTTATCAAGCAAAATAAATTTATTATTTTGTTTTATATTATTTTAAAAGATGATACAATTATACATATATATTTTTTTACTTTTTTATGTCTAAATCACATCTAAATACTTCTTTTCCTTTAATCCCAAGTGTGATTCAGCGGTAAGGATTGATCCACGCTTAAACAAGGTCAGAGATTCGAATCCTGCCTTGTGTATGCAGCTGCGTTAAATCTTGGGGTCAGCTATCTCACTCTTTAAGGTGATACTTCAGGGACGAACAAAAACAAATATTCCTCTTCCTTTGTTTCAAAATTGTCAACTAAATAACAATAAAAAAAATATATCAGGTTTAATTTTTATAATAATAATAATAATAATAATAATAAAATATTTGAAAAAATCAACATATAATTATTTTTTAAAGATTGGGTTTATAATAATAAGAAAACATTTTTTTATAAAAATGGACACGTTCCAACAGAGGTGAAAAAAAAAAGAAAAAAAAAAACATTTTCAAATAAAAAACATATTTTGTGCGAAAATATATTGATTAAATTAAATAATACATTTTTTAAAAATAAGTCTAAACTTTATTAAGTGTTATGTTTTTTGATTAATAAATGCTTATGTTTGAGTTTTTTTCATTATTAATATTATATTGTATCATTTTTTTAAAATAAATAAATAAATACAAGTACCATTCAATTGGTCTAATCTTAAATAGTATTATTTTATAATAAAAAATAATATTATTTTCTTTTTGATAACAATATTAATTATTAATTAAAATTTTAAAATTGATCTTTTAAAGTCTTTAAAGATAATTTTAAAAATACAGTAATTAATAATTTAAAAACTTTTGAATAAATACTTTTCTTAATAAGTACAAAGAGACTTCAACATATCTCTTATCATGGAAAAGTTTTCATAAATACATAGATTTTAAATTCGTTGTAAATTTTTCATCCGGTCAAAGTATTTCACTTTAAAGAGTTTAAAATTCTTCAAACAAATAAGTTACTTCATTTAATTTACTCATTCAAACACACTTAAGTGTTGACCATGAGCCAAAGGGGAAGGATAATAATCTACCAACATTAGGAATGGTTTTGCCATTTTATGGACATTAGGCAAAATAATAATTAGATGTCTTAATATTGGTGTAAAATAAAATATATTTAACAAAAAATATACATGTAAGTTTATTAAAACAATTATATATATTATTATACTAAACACATAATATAGTTTTAGAAAGGATAAGTATAGTTATAGTTATAGTATAATATGTCTTCAAAATTTCTTTTGAAGGCATATAACCATTTTACACCAAGACGTCTACCCAATCCAAATCACTAATTAAAATCATGTTAGATATGTAAATATAAATTAGGATTGTGATACCCTTTACTTCGCATATCATAACATACAAATCATTAAAACTAAACAGAAAGGTCTTTCATAAATAAAATCCAACAAGTTCAACATAAAAAGTATCACATTTTCAACAAAACAAAACCAACTGAAAATCCAATGGAGTCTATTACATGAAAACCAATAATCATTTTAAAGCATGACAAGCTGCAAGTACTAGGACTCATCGACAACATCCTCAACCTCATGATGTAAATCACCTGCAAAAATATATAATAGAGAAAAACATAACAAGGGGAGTGAGAAACATTTCACTTTTACTTATGATATAAGATGTAGCTGGACAACCAAATACAAATAAGACATACATATATAAAATATAGACAGATTGGTAACAAGAACTCATTTCACCCTTTTATGACATAATAATTTAAATACCACATAACAATAAAATGCATTATGCAATGGACACAGACGACATGTTATCATGCATGTGGCGCTAGTAAAAATATTACATATTACACTTATGCATTGTCGTCAACAATACACATAGAATAGCCTAAGAGTATATGTTGAGTCATACCTTCTGTGCACCCTTATTAAGAGAACATATTACCAGGATTTGGTTGAGATAATTGAGTCGCATAAGATACATTTCATGAACACAAGAACGAGATTATCTTATAAGCAAGTTTATTTTGATTTATTTATTTATTATGTTTTAATAAATAGAAGAAGTTCATCTAGACATGTCTTAAGATTATCTCAATGACTTGTTAACAAGATAGATGAGAAAGAGTTGTCTCCGTTTGTATACCGAGAATGAAAACGTCTTAAATTTTAATCCCTCATTCTCATCTCCTCAGTTCACAAAAAAATCATAATGTTTGACTGGGACCTACATTAATTCCTTTTCCTTTTAGACGAATCCTGGGATCATATTTTATAGTGCAGAATTGAAAGTGTGAAACAGAAAAGCAGACAGAGAAGTAACAAAAATAAAAGGGATAAAAGTGTGATTGTTTTATTTAAAAAAGTTATGAAAGGTGATAGAGAGAAAAGACGAGACAGGTACCCTTAAACAATAATGTGGGCACCCTCAAAATCTTGGGATCCGGTGGGGCAGTTGAAGGAGTGATGAATTCCGGGGCGGCCGGTGAGTAGGGTGACAAGCTTTTGTAAAAGATTTGCAGCCCAGTTGCCAGCGTGGTTGAAGAAATCAAGAATTCCGGAGGTGCGGTGGACACAGCGAATGATTGCATTCTTGAAAACTTGTGAACCTGATCCACCGTTGTTAAAGGACTCTTCAATTACTATAGTCTCGGTCGTTGTCTTGGTGAAATCTTGTGAGCCTGATCCATCGTTGTTAAAGGACTTTCCAATTCCGAAACTCTTGGTCCTTGTCTTGGTGAAATCTTGTGAGCCTGATCGACGGTTGTTAAAGGACTCTAGGGTTTTGTAGGAGGGGCGATGATGGTCTTCAGTGGCAGAGTGTTGTTGCGGAAAACCATTTCTCTGACTTGGCACGCTGATCGTTGCATCCCTGAAAACTTGTGAGTCTTTTTTCTTCTTGTTGTTGTTTTCAAAGGAGCGTACACTTCGGGAGAAATCAACATCAGGGAGGCGAATGACAGTATCATTAGAACGTTGACCATTGCTCTTGCTTCCCATCTTGCTTAACTCATTTTTCCTCTCACTTTTCTCTATCACTCTATCCTACTCGCTTCAAAGCAGTCACCACTCACCAGGCAACTTGTTGCCCAAAATCACAATTTCCACCTTTCAGAGGCCAAACACTTTCAAATTCAATGACTTTGAGCAAATACTTTTTCAGTGTAAAGACACTTCCACATACCATGGACAAGTTTTTATCACCATTAAATATCATAATTTTCTGCCATCGTTAGGATGCTCTTCCAATTTTCTAGTGTTAAACTATTGATTAAAGTACAACAAGAATTTCTTTTGTGATTCTCCAAGCCCCTTATGTATTTATTGAAGTTATTTTTTTTGGTAGAGTATATATTTAATTATAAACACGCGTAAATATATTTATATAAAGATAATATTTTTTTACAAAAAAACATTTATATAAATTAAAATGATATAAAGCATATGGTAATATAAAATTATTTTGAAGATATATTAGTATAAAAAAATTAATATTGTTTTACTTATCTATATACATCATTGAAGATAAAATAATTGAGAAATGAATTAAAAAAAATTAATGTTATAATGTCATGGGTTGGTGTGGGTGTATATAAGTCTTAATCCAATCGGAGGTGTGATTCCACTTTATTCCTTTTCCACAAAAGGACCCAAGGATCTTTTCAAAGACATCTGTTTCATTTTCTTAGACTATTGACTCAAGTAAATATATATGTATTCTGGTATTACTATTTTGCACTCAAATACTCTACCTTCTCTTCACGGTAGCTAGTGCTATTTTTTGAGTGCCCTTTTTGAATCGGTTATTTTTTCGTTATTGAGAGCTATAACAAATATTTTGGTATTTTTCTACATCTTATTGACCTTTTATTCCTCTTCATGATGTGAGGAACCTAACACAAGTTAGCTCTTCGATTGCTCAAGTTACTCCAAATCTTGGTTCCATTACTAAAGAGAGAGTTGTTTCCAAATATCATGGAAATGATTATTACATCCACCTCAAGCAAAATTGATTTATATATATATATATATATATGTCAAACATTCTTCAAATTTTTTCATCAACTAGATTCAAGAAATATAGATATCATTCATCAATTTCGTGTACCACACTTACTTCGAAGTGGTATACTTAATCAAAACATTTAACTATTAGATTGTCCATCAACAAAACTACATTCCACCTCTTTGACCTTTTAAGATCTTTAAGTGAAATTATTATATATAATCATTATAAATATCAAATAAATACAAATAATAAGAAACAAGACAATCACCAAAATTATCCTTAATCTTTTCCCCTTTGTGGGATTATCATTGCTCCCTCTAGCCATGCTGCTTTGCTTTTCGCTTTCTGTAACAAGCTGCGACTGGAAGTGGAGAACAAAGAATCATAAATTAAATTTAAAAAGTTTAAAAATTCTTTTAAGTAGATTAAAAATTTCATTTAAAATGATTAATTTTAGTTAGATTAGATTCGAATCTTTGGATCTATCAGTATTCGAATTTAACTATTTAAATAAAATAAAGATTAAAATAATTATTATTTAAATTCAAAAATTAGTCCATCTTTAACTTTTATTATTAATTAGTTAAAAATGTAATTTGTAATTTTCTTTCATATCATGTATTTAAAAAAATTTATTATAATATTTAAATTATTTGAAACATGAATAATTTTATTCATTTTAATTTTAAAAAAACTAAAAAATATTTGAATGGTTGAATATATAAAAAAAATATAAAATTTTGAAAAATAAATAATAAATTAGATAAAAGAATTTATTTGAATCAATTAAATAAATTAAAATTTAATACACCTTTACTTATAAAATATCATGTAATACCTAAATTAATAAGTAATTTGGTGAAGTTAAAATTAAAATAATACAAAGTATTAATTATATTAACCCGAAACCGACGGTAGCGGAAGCTTCATGTGGCAAAGTGGTGTTTTACTTGCTTTATGTTTTCCTTGTCGCTTTGTGTACACGTTCAGGTGAGTGGGTGACTACGTTGAGGAAGTCGTCAACGCACCCGTCTTCTTTCTGCGGTTTTATTTGACTACTTTTACTTACAACTTGCACGCCACACTTTTTCTAATTCCTTATTTACGAGTGTTCTGCTATTCCACAAGTTTACAATTCGTTTAAATAATTTATTACTTAATTTCATGTACGAGTTTCATCAATAATAAATTTATGTAATACTAAATATTTATTTTTAGAAATTACTTACTTTATAAATTAACTGAAGGAGTTTATAACTTCTTAGTTTCTTATTTTATTTTTCATACGGTTTTAATTTTCTTTTTATTTCTCAACAGGTTTCTCTCTCATGCTTATAAAGAGTTTTTTTTTATATTATTTGATTTATTTATCGGATTATTCCTTGATTCAGTGATAAAATTATTATTTTTAATTCATTGAGAAGGTTCTCCTAGTTCTCTAATTGGATTATTTTCATTGATTCAAAAAGCATTTCAATACCCTTGTTGGGAGCACTGGAGCTTGATGTGGGAGGCAGGGAAAGTGCCATTGCCCATATCATCGACCATTATTTGACTGCCCTTTTTGAATCGGTTATTTTTTCGTTTTTGAGAGGTATAACAAATATTTTTTGCTATTTTTCTACATCTTTTATTCCTCTTCCTGTTGTGAGGAACCTAACACAATTTAGCTCCTTCAATTGGTCAAATTACTCCAAACCTTGGTTCCGTTACTAAAGAGAGAGCGTCGTTGCCAATACCATGGAGATGATTATTGCATCCACCTCAAGCAAAATTGATTTTTTTCTTTTTATATATACAAATGTCAAACATTAAATAGATGCAAACTTTTCCATCAACCAGATTCATCAAGAAATATAGATATCATTTATCAATTTTCTATACCACACTTATTTCGAAGTGGTATACTTAGCTAAAACATTTAGCCATTAGGTTGTCCATCAACAAAACTACATTCGACCTATCTGACTCTTTAAGTGAAAATATTATGTATAATCATTATAAATATCAAATAAATATAAATAATAAGAATTAAGATAATTATCAAAGTTATCCTTAATATTTAACAATAACGTATTCATCATTTTATATCATACTTTCTAGGGTTTCAATTAATCGAACAGGCTTCTTATTTAACCAAATATAACTCCATTTGATTAGGTCGTATAAAGATTCCTCATGCTATTAACAAAAAAGTATGAAGGGCTCTTTATCCTTCTAATCACCATCCAATCGAGAAGGTCAATTTTCAGGATCACTCACATATTGTTTATCAAGTTAACTCCCCGAGAGTTAATCAAGTTAATAATTCTCACATAGATTCGGGTACAATTATAAATGCATACAATAGACTTATTATAGGGATAAGATCCATGCATTTTTTAAGGGATTGAGATTGAAGAAAAAAGATTCATATCCTTAATATGACACTCATATATATAGAAAAAAGGTTCTATGTCTGAGTAGATTATACTCATTTGAATCTTCTAAATTAGGACGACGTACAACTAAGTTCTCTTAGAACTTGTAGTACTAAGGGTTCTTTGACTATTATTCCTTTATTGGACCACATGATGTCATCCATGACATTTAAGATTAACAAATTTCTTTTGAGGACATATAACCATTTTACAGCAAGACGTCTACCCAATCAGAATCACTAATTAAAATCATGCTAGATATGTAAATATAAATTAGGATTACGACACCTTTTACCTCGCATATCATAACATACAAATCATTAAAACTAAACATAAAGGTTTTTCATAAATAAAATCCAACGTGTTCAACATAAAAAGTATCACATTTTCAACAAAACAAAACCAACCGAAAATCCAATGGAGTCTATTACAAGAAAACTAATAATCATCTCAAAGCATGACAAAAGAAGATAATTCCAACAGCAAGTACTAGGACTCATCGACAACATCCTCAATCTCATGATGTAAATCACCTGCAAGAATATACAATAGAAAAAAAATACAAGGAGAATGAGAAACATCTCACTTTGACTTATGATATAAGATGTAACTAGATGAAACAAGTGCAATTACTACAGCATAGAAAATTGAATGAAACAGTAATTTTGGAAAACTCAGGGAAGTACGTTGTATTATTAATGAGGATGCTTGTCAGACAGTATAAGAAATAAGTACCAAGAGGTACTCTGAAGGGGGATGAGGGACAGAGAGAATAAGATGAGAGAGAGAATTCAATGCAACAATCATCACTACTCTTATTCATCCTGAGAGATTCTTTAAAAGGAAAATCACTGGCCCATCACGTATCCCCTTAGGCGCACATTCTCACGTTTCATTCGGTCACTTTTCCTGGGGTGCATGATCCAAGGAAATTGCTCCACGTGTCCTTCTTGCATAACCGAATTTGTCTTCATCTGATTGCCAATCATTTGCTCATTCATTCCATTTTCTGTTGAGCCATGTGGACCTTGACTCTCATTTCCTTCTCTTGGCCAATGTGGGCTTGTTACATTACCTCCCCCATTGAAAACAACCTTGTCCTCAAGGTTGAAAAGAGGATAAGATTGTTCAATGGTGTTTCTGTCTTCCCATGAGGCCTCCTCTGGTTGCTGACCTTCCCAATGGACTAGAACCTGTGGAATCTGTTTGTGCTTCTTGAGAATTGTTCTGTGTTGCAATATGGCCTTTGGTTGTAAAGCAAGTCCCTTTTCATCAATTAACAAAGGAGTTGGTATTTGAGTAATAACCTCATTGCCGCGAAATGCTTTCAATTGAGACACATGGAAAACAGGATGTATCTTGGCTGTTGCAGGAAGAGCAAGTTTATAAGCTACTTTGCCAATTCTCTGAGTAATGGTGAATGGACCAAAATACTTCATGCTCAACTTCTGATTCTGTCTCAAGGCCACTGAGTGCTGCCTATATGGCTGCAACCTAACCCACACTTTATCCCCTTCAGCAAATACAATGTCTTGTCTATGCCTGTCTGCTTGTAGTTTCATGTGCTGCTGTGCTTGAATCAAATTGTCTTTGAGCTTGGCCAGCAGTATGTCTCTGGAGTGTAACACATCCTGCACTGCTTGTATATCATACTGAGAAGGTGCATATCTAATAATAGCAGGTGGTAGTCGGCCATAAACAGCTTGAAAAGGAGTCATCCCCAAACTGTGATGAAATGAAGTATTATACCAGTACTCAGCCCAGGGCAACAACTTCACCCAATCTTTAGGATTTTGGCTTGAAAAACACCTAAGATACATCTCCAAGCATTTGTTAAGAGCTTCAGTCTGACCATCTGACTG